ACTGCTTTTGTGCTCCAGGGACACAAATATCTAAAACTACCAGATAATATACATGAGTGTTGTGATCAGCAGTGTTTAAGTGGCACAGAAACAATAAAAGTGGCGGCAATACACTTGAACAGATTCATAAACACTAAACAGAACTGATAAAATGCAAACAAATCTTTTTTCAAACCAGTTCACTGAACTGAATCATCTGAACGAACTGATTCACTAAAATGAATCCTACTTCGCATGCAAGCACAGAAGCGTTTTGACATGTTCAAGTAGTTTGATACTGGAGAAAAATAGTGTTTTTAACATGTTGATGTCAAACTCTACAAGAATCACTAGTTTCCTGCACTATACACTGCCTAAACAACTGTCTTTTCAGGCTGCCGTATTCAGACAATGCTTCACACGCAGTTCATCCAGACACACAGATATGCAGAAATGACTCCCAAACGTCATTGAGCGGAGCCTCAGGACGGCGTACCCACTGGAGGAGTGAGTTTAAGTGAGCTACTGAAGTTAAAGCTGTGAAAATAACCACTGTAATGCTATAAAAGACGATCCAGCTGTGCCACAAATCACTCTGCCAATTCACCTCCTTATAACACACACAAACCACATGTGCACTTTACAGCATTATGAGTTCTTCTGCTGACATTAAATACAGCAATAAGCCACCAGAGGCCATGAGATACAGAACTGTTACTTAAGAGCACTTAAGAAGAGCCGGCACACTGAATATAAAGCACAGAAAAGCAGCTACAGCAATATGATCAAACATCGATCCATGTTTTTCTAGAAATATTTACATGTATCTACAGCTCATCCAAAAACTATTCTATTCTATTCATCTATGCAAATGAGGCTTATTAAGAACTGAATGGGATTGACAAAAAAAATGTGGGCGTGTTTGTGCAACAATGTTTTTTTTTTTTTATTCCAAAAATGCAAAATGTGAAAAAAATGAAGGTTTGCAAAAGTAAAAATAATATTTTTTTAATCATTTTATTTAATTTAAAAATAAATACATGTGCATGCTATGTAAACAAGGCCGTTCTATTAACACTCATTTTCACTTTCAGGAGATGCATGTAGTATTTGCAACACTGTTTAACCGTTTAAATGTTGATGTGTTTGTGCGTCACCTGATTTTCTGAATTCCTTTTTCTGAATTTGAGTGAATTGCATGCTAAAAAAAATGCACACAACACATGCAAATACAAATTAATCAGTGGGCATAATTCATTCTTACTGAATATATTCTCACTCAAAAATGTGGGCATGTTTGAGCAATAACATCTTTTTTTAATTGTAATAGTGCAAAATGTGGGAAAAAAGAAAGATTTGCAACAGCAAAATAATAATAATAAAAAAATCCTTAAAATAATGCACACAGCACATGCGAATATTATGTCATCAGTGTGCGTAACTTGTTCTTACTAAATACATTTTTACAGAAAAATGGGTACACTGTAAAAAATGACCGTGAATTTAACGGTAAAAGACTGTAAAAATGCTACAGTAAAAACCTGTTAAATGGTTAACGGTAAATTCCCCTACTATATACGGTGAAAAACTGTATTGGACATTACATGTATTAACATTATATCAGTTAATGAAATTACGGTATTTAACTGTAAATTTAAGTTATAACCGTAAAACCTAAAACGTTGCTACCGTATTTTTTACGGTAAATTTCCGGCAACCACAGCTGCCGGTTTTTTACCGTAAATTTTACGGAATTTTTTTTACAGTGTATGTTTGTGCAAGAATAGTTTTTATTCTAAACAGTAACAGTACTGCAACAGTAAAATTCAAATAAATAACTTTTTTGTGATTTTATTTAATTTATAAAAAATATATTTTTTTCTGCATTCTACATAAACAAGGCTGTTTTATTGACATTCATTTTCACTTCAGAGGAGATGCATGCAGCATTTGCAGCACTTTAACTGAGAAAATGATTTTAGGGTTATTTTTGTCCATTTGTCAATGCAAACTCCTGCTATGCAAATGAGGCTTATTATGAATTGTGCATATCCTGATTTCCTTTAACGAATTAAGAGTGAATTGGATGCTAAAATACACACACAACCCATGCAAACACAACGTCATCAGTGGAAATCATTCATTCTTACTGAATTCTCTCTTTTTTTTATCTCTGGAGATAGTAAAACAGATATTTGTTTGATGTTTTTCCACGAGGGCTGGTGAACATCAGTGAAGTCTTACCGCAGGTGAGCTGCTGCTCCTGAAGGCTGCGCAGCTCCAGTCCATGAAGACGAGCCGGATACACGCATACGGATTCATTCCCCACACGCACCGCCTGAGATCTGATCCACGACAACAACCAGCGCAGCTGACAATCACAGAACAGATAGTCTGTGCCCACGTGCCTGAAAAACACACAGCCACAGCACCTCCATCACTCACATTCACTCATATCATCCTGCAGGAGAACAACATCTGAAAAACCCCTCTACACTCTAAAAAATGCTGGGTTCAGCTTGTTGGGTCATGTTATTGGGTTGTTTTTCATTTTTTACCCAGGTGCTGGGTAGTTTTCTGTAACTAAGTTCCTGGGTCATTTTTAACGCTGGGTTATTTTTTTCTACCCAACCGCTGAGTTGAGCCTGTCTCCGATGAAACAACCCAGCTGCTGAGTTACAGTCAGAGCTTATTGAGTCCTCTACGCCTCAACGCCGGCGATTTGGTGCACTTCTTCAGCGAAATAAAGGATTACATACATTTAATTCCATTTATAAAGTCTTTACTGTGCTGTAAATTATATTATTTTGCGCAATGCAACAAAAGGACGAGATGTCAGCTGCGTCAGCAGCGGTTGTTTCGCGCTGGAAACGCCTTTTGCCTTGCATAACATAAATGGATTTTATTCGTTATAATACTGAGTTTAATTTAATTTGATGTTAAAATACGTTCTCTAACCTCAGTACTGTTTGTTTATGGGCAGGTTTTGGAGTCAGTCATCATGGCATCTTTCAGCTACGAGTGAAACGCGAGGCGGCGGTCTTAAGTTCGCAGTTCCCGCTCAGATTTCGGCGACACAAGATTTAGCGCTATTTTAGTGAAAATCGATTACGGAGAACAGTTGAATACACTTAAATTAAAATGCTACTTTTAAATGTTAGATTTTTTATTTCTAAAATCCTTGTTAAACGAGTTTAAATGTACGTGATATTGTAAACTATGCTGTATTCACCCAAATAAATTCAATTTGTCTTGTATTTTGTCCATGGGTGTTCTTGCTTAGTAATAAATGTTCATCTTTTGATTATTGCTCACTATTCTGTGTGTGATTTTTAATTTCCAGCCCGTTTTAAACCAGCAATATAATATTTTTAAACAATAGTTGACTTAAATAAAACAACCCAGCATGGTGGGTAAAAACATTTAACCCAATCAGCTGGATCAAAATAACCCAGCATGTGTTCTGTCCAGTATTTACCCAGCGCCGGGTTGCCAAATAACCCAAGTTGGGTTGTTTTTAACCCAGCATTTTTTAGAGTGTACTGTCTTCTGTAGAGCTGCATTACTTTTATTCTCATTAATTATTCTGCCGTTTATGAATAATAGCAACCATCTAGTTCCTCTGCATTACTCTGACTGGACTGACTGAGTTTCTGATCACTCTAGTTAGGCATCGTATGCAATAGAAATGCAATTTATGCAAAAAAATAATAAATAAAAAATCCAATATCATAAAAACAATTACGACTACAGCAGTGTTCCCATTCCATGTGTCCAAATAAACAAAATAAATGTAATAATTTACTTGTGGTTTCGAGACAACAGATTCTGAATTAATGTAATAGTTAAAAACAAAATTACTACAACTTTAAATAAAATGAAAGTGAAAACATATAAAATTCAATTCAAATTATTAACAAAACCATGAAAATATCTATAACTTTAACTAAAGCTGAAGTGAAAACAAAAAAATATAAAATCGGATCACGATTCATGCAATCCGCGAAATGATTTGCAAACCCAATTGGAAGTTCTGATCTGAATCTATTTGCGAACCAGCTCCAAAGATCCGATCAAATGATTCACAATACACAAAGTTCTGATCTAAATCAAATGATCCGCACTACGAAGTCGTGATCTGAACAATGATTTGCAAACCATCATTTCAGATCAGAACTCGGAGCACAGACTGTGAATCATTCAATTCGCGAAATGATTGGCGAACCCGCTCAGATGTGCTGATCTAAATGAAATGATTCGCGAACCCGCTCCGAAGTGCCGATCTAAATTAAATGATTCGCGAACCCGCTCCAAAGTTCTGATCTAAATTAAATGATTCGCGAACCCGCTCCGAAGTGCCGATCTAAATTAAATGATTCGCGAACCCGCTCCAAAGTTCCGATCTAAATTAAATTATTCGCGAACCCCCTCCGAAGTTCCGATCTAAATTAAATGATTGGCGAACCCGCACCAAAGTTCCGATCAAAAGTACACATAGCAAGGTTTTGTTGTTGTTATTGTTGTTTTTTATAATACATAAAAAGAAAACAAGTAGATAGAATAGAAAACTTATAGAGAACATTAGTGTTAGAGGGTCTCTTTTTTTACCAAGAAAGAAAAGTCAGAAGAATAGAAAAAGAATTGTGAACATTTTTTAAATAAAAAGAAAGCAAGTATTGTAAAGAGTGCAAGAGTTAACGGATCAAGTGTTTTGTTTATACAAATAAATAAATAGAAAACGAGTAGATAAAATACAATAGAGAGTCAAATAAAGATCGAAGAAATGTGTTTTTAGCCCATTCTTGAAGATGGCTAATTAATTACAGCATTGATGGCCATTAATAACGAGCTGCAGCTCAAAATACATGTTAGATGGAAACATTGTGCATATGATGGAGTTTGTAGCTTAATTCACTATATTTGAAATAGTTTGAGCTGCAGTTCAGTTGCTGATAGTTCAATAGAAATCAGTTGAAAGCATCCAGTCTCTCAGACCATTGATGTGAATGTTCAATTTATCAGTATATATTGTAATAAATATTTAAGAAATGATTGTTGAATCAGATTAGTCCATATAGAGTGATAGTCGATGTAAAAAGAGCAAATGGGAGAAGCAGATGAACACAAAACAGAACAACATAAAGTTAACTTTATTATTCAACTGAACTGTGCTCGTATGTTTTAAACACTTCTGTTACCTTATATGTGTGTAGGTGTGCTTGTGTGAACCAATTAATTTGTGTGACTTCATAAAGTTAATAAAATAAGTAAGCTAATATAATAGCTTCAATAAATGCTCGTTTTGGACTAGTTTTTTGAGCTCTGATATGTACAGTAGCTTTTCATAGTACAGTGTTCCTCATATTATGACCCATTTAAACAGTAGAAAACAGTGCAGAGATCTTACAGCGCTCTGAGAGACGGGACATGTGTGAACAAACCCTCCGGCAGCGTGGAAAAGATATTCCCAGACAAATTCCTGAAAAACACACAGACGTTACACACAAACCTATCCCACAATTCAAAACTCATAGCATTAAAACAGAGCTAGAACGATCTAAATTAAATGATTTGCAAACCCGCTCCAAAGTTCTGATCTAAATTAAATTATTTGCGAACTCGCTCCAAAGTTCCGATCCAAATTAAATGATTCGCGAACCCGCTCCGAAGTTCTGATCTAAATTAAATTATTCGCGAACCCGCTCCGAAGTTCCGATCTAAATTAAATGATTTGCAAACCCGCTCCGAAGTTCCGATCTAAATTAAATGATTCACGAACCCGCTCCGAAGTTCCGATCTAAATTAAATGATTTGCAAACCCGCTCCAAAGTTCTGATCTAAATTAAATTATTCGCGAACCCCCTCCAAAGTTCTGATCAAAAGTACACATAGCAAGGTTTTGTTGTTGTTATTGTTGTTTTTTATAATACATAAAAAGAAAACAAGTAGATAGAATAGAAAACTTATAGAGAACATTAGTGTTAGAGGGTCTCTTTTTTTACCAAGAAAGAAAAGTCAGAAGAATAGAAAAAGTATTGTGAACGTTAGTATTGGAGGAACATTTTTTAAATAAAAAGAAAGCAAGTATTGTAAAGAGTGCAAGAGTTAAAGGATCAAGTGTTTTGTTTATACAAATAAATAAATAGAAAACGAGTAGATAAAATACAATAGAGGGTCAAATAAAGATCGAAGAAATGTGTTTTTAGCCCATTCTTGAAGATGGCTAATTAATTACAGCATCGATGGCCATTAATAACGAGCTGCAGCTCAAAATACATGTTAGATGGAAACATTGTGCATATGATGGATTTTGTAGCTTAATTCACTATATTTGAAATAGTTTGAGCTGCAGTTCAGTTGCTGATAGTTCAATAGAAATCAGCTGAAAGCCTCCAGTCTCTCAGACCATTGATGTGAATGTTCAATTTATCAGTATATATTGTAATAAATATTTGAGAAATGATTGTTGAATCAGATTAGTCCGTATAGAGTGATAGTCGATGTAAAAAGAGCAAATGGGAGAAGCAGATGAACACAAAACAGAACAACATAAAGTTAACTTTATTATTCAACTGAACTGTGCTCGTATGTTTTAAACACTTCTGCTACCTTATATGTGTGTAGGTGTGCTTGTGTGAACCAATTAATTTGTGTGACTTCATAAGTTCAATAAAATAAGTAAGCTAATATAATAGCTTCAATAAGTGCTCGTTTTGGACTAGTTTTTGAGCTCTGATATGTACAGTAGCTTTTCACAGTACAGTGTTCCTCATATTATGACCCATTTAAACAGTAGAAAACTGTGTGTGAGTGTGAGTGAGTGTGTGTGTGTGTGTGTGTGAGTGACCAAATGTCTCCACAAGGACAGTAAAACCTGAAATTTTTGACATTGTGTAGACTGGCCTGCGGTCCCCACGAGGGAAAAGCATTATTAAAAATAGTAAATGATGTTTATCTGAAAGTGTAAGAATGCAAAAGGTTTTCTGTAAGGGGTAGGTTTAGGGTTAGGGGATGGAAAATATCGTTTGGTCAGTATAAAAGTAATAGAAGTCTATGGAAAGTCCCCACAATTGACAGAAACAAACGTGTGTGTGTGTGTGTGTTGTAATGAGAAACATGCGCTGCTGTGGTGCAGTGGGAGCGGCTCGGTTCGGTTCAATGCTGTAATCATGGGTTGGGAACTCTTAAATTAGCGCTGAGACCTGCCGCTTAAATTATACGCATCCAGCAGCCTGGCACACGCACATCCACAATCAGCCGCTCAAATCCAGCAATCAGTGTCACATTAAAGGTCTGCATGGCTCCTGCGTCTGTACGTCGAGATGCTGAAAGCCTCTTCCCTGCAGAATGAACCTTAGATCGGCTGCAGCTCTCATTCTCAAGAGTGCTGCTTAAAGATGTGAGCTAATATTCAAGATGTAGAAGTTTCAAAACACTGAACGATTAAAAACACTTTTTTCAATTCGCTATTCGGTGGTGCTTTCGGATCTGGTGATAGCTACATTTCTGGTTCTGCTGTTAAATTTAGGCCTACTACTACAAAAAAAAAGTCAAAATGTCCATTTTTGCCGAATGACTTCGTAAACACAGTTTAAAAATTCCCAAATTACCGTAAAGAGTTGGTTTACGGTACGGTGTCGTTTTGCTTTTTTATAGAAATGAAAATAATTTAAGTTCAGTTGAAAAAAAATTCTAAACTGAAAGCGTCTGCTCTGCTTAATACTGCCAGGGTTGCCAGGTCTGCGTGAGTAGAGCAATGACCATATCCCAAATTTCATAACTCAAAATGTCATTTCCATACCTAAAATACATATTTTACAGTCACTGTTATGCACATTGATCATAAAAACAGCTCAAAGGTTTCCTACCAGCAGAGGCCCCTGGGCTACAGCGTTACAGTAGCGCCCCCCCTTCCCTAGATAACTTTTTTTTTAAGCTTCCTGAAAATTATGTAAAATTTCAATTTTTTTCCCTTGTTGATATGCCAGTTAACATTCACGACACTGTTCTGCGTGAAATGTGAATATAAGTGAATATGCCAATTCATTCTTTGCCAGAAGGTGGCGCTTGTGGAACAGTTGCATAAAGTAAACATTATGTTATTACAGGCATTATACGGAGGTAATATGAAAAGAAAATGCCATCAAAACTTTCCTGGCCGAAATGTGATTTTACAGGTATGATTTCAACACCATAAATTACATAAAATATTCATTATTCATCATCAGTAGATTGGAACAACACTTGGCAAGTTGTCATAAATGTGAGCTATTTGGTGATTGCTAACTGCGTTTTTATTTTGAAGCGTGCCGTGCTCGCGCTTAATTCAATCATAGCCGTTCAAAGTTTAATGATCACATTTAAACAATAGGATGATTCCTATTCTTCCATCCCCAGATTTGAGATTGGGACTCTGAAGCAGCAACACAGTGACTGAATCTACAGTAAAACCTTCGGTTTGGGGGGCAAGTCCTGATCTACAGAAAATGATTTGCGATACGCAATCTTTTGTTTACAAAATGCTGTTGTCACTGCTGCAAATTCCCATATATTCAAATAATTATTCGAAAAAGCACGTCTTTCCAGTGTAGGCCCCTGCATTAATGCGCCCCTGCCTACCAGCCTCCTTCGCAAAACTTAACATCTAGTGCAGTTTGATCGTGCTAAATATTTCAATACGATTGTGTGCAGTTCGCTCAGGGTGGGGTCTCTGCTAATACGGCAGTGTCCACCAACCAGGGGCGTATAGCAGCCATTTTAAAAGTGGGAGGGGAGGACAGCTGTCAGGTGATGTGACCCTCAAAGGTAAACAAATGATGTACATAATGTACAAAGTAAGTACATTCATGTTAGCAGTAATGAAAATGATCAAGTATGATAAGATAAGTATTTGGCGCAAAACAACTTTGCTTTATTGGGAAGGGATAATTCTACTCCGGACGCGAGCAGCACGACGCGACAAAAGACAGCAGAACACAATAATCAGTTATGTCTCATTTAGCAGACGCTTTTATCATTTAACACACACTGGCTCCGGCGCAACGTGACGAGGTACTTAACGGGTTCTATTGTCTTTTGTTGCGTCGCATCGCTCGTTACAGTAAGTTAAATCATAACATGGAAACTTGATCGCGTGGTTCGTGTCATCGCCACATAACACATACTTAAATTGTGTGTTTGAAAAACGAACGTAATCTGCTTTTTTCTGAGGTGCATTTTACCCCAGACCGCCAAAGAGTAAAGAAGTGAATGAATGAAAGAAATCGCGAGTGCAGCAGGAGATTTTAAGCTTATGGCAGACGCGCCCAAGAGATGATTCGCCTTGTGATTGGCTGAATGTTAGTTCACTCAAATCTAAGTAACAAATCAGAAAACACGGGCCTAAATATTGGTGGTGGGTCAAAAAAAAAAGTCAGATTTGACTGATCACTGGTGGAGAAACAATGCTGGAGGATTTGCTGCTCAGCAGATCCTGAGCTCACTGACAAATATCTGATCTTGTAAGATGTGGAGATGCTGCAGACGAACTACGAACTACGGACAGAAGACTATTTCGACTCAATTCGATACCCGCTGATAGGCAGCTGAAAAAAAAAAGTCAGATTTGACTGATCACTGGTGGAGAAACAATGCTGGAGGATTTGCTGCTCAGCAGATCCTGAGCTCACTGACAAATATCTGATCTTGTAAGATGTGGAGATGCTGCAGACGAACTCCGAACTACGAACAGAAGACTATTTCGACTCAATTCGATACCCGCTGATAGGCAGCTGCTTTCAAAAGTTCCCGTTTTTATTTGTGTTCACGCTCTGTAGTCTGAAGACCGTACAAAATGTGTTGAAATGTTCAGAATTTTTATTTAGCTGTAGAAACATTTATAGAGGCATTGCAGCATCTGATTAGGTTTTCAAGCACATTTCCAAGGTCATAATCATACTTACAGTCTCCTCAGAGCCGTCAGGCCATGAAACGCGCCGGGGGCAATTCTGCTAATGAGATTACTGCTGAGATCCCTGAAGACAGACAGAGAAAGAGAAGAGAGATTTCTATTTCAAACAAATGCTGTTCTTTTGAACTTTCTGTTCATCTGTGAATCCTGAAAAATAAAATGCATCACGGTTTCCACAAAAATATTGTGCAGCACAACTGTTTTCAACATTGATAATAATCAGAAATGTTTCTCGAGCAGCAAATCAGCATATTAGAATGATTTCTGAAGATCATGTGACACTGAAGACTGGAGTAATGATGCTGAAAATTCAGCTTTGATCACAGAAATAAATTACAGTTTAACAGATATTCACACAGAAAACAGATATTTTAAATTGTAATAATATTTCACAATTTTACTGTATTTTTGATCAAATAAATGCAGCCCTGGTGAGCAGAAGAGACTTCTTTCAAAAATATTAAATTTAAAAAATTTTACCAACCCCAAACTTTTAAAAATGTATTTTAATGAATTCATTAGTAGTATTTGAAAAACAGATGAAAAAAACTGTTAAGAAGGAGAGAGATATTTGATCTATAACTAGCAAGTTATGAAATCCACACTTCCAAACATACAGAAACACATCAAACCTACGGAAACCTGTTTTTGGCACAAATATTAAATAAATAAAAAATCTAATTGCCACGGTTTCCTCGCAATTCTAAGTTCATATCTCACAATTCTGACTTTATATCTCGCAACTCTGAGTCAGTTTATATCTCACAATTCTGACTTTTTTCTCAGAATAGTGAGTTTTAATCTTGCAATTCTGACTTTTTTTTTATTTATTTTTTTTAAAGTTTATATTTCACAGTTCTGTTTTTTGTTTCCACCACAGAATAAAAATTAAAAAAGGTCATTGCAACTTTGTCTTTTATATGACAATTCTCTTTTTTCCTTTTTTTTCTCTCAAAACTGCGGGGGGAAAAAAAATCAGAATTGTGAGATAAAATGTTGCAATTATATATTTTTGTTTAATGTTGTGGTGGAACTGGTCTTCTATACAAAGCTCAATGCGTTCAACTCTGACCGACTGTCTCAGACCAAGTGCACTAAAAATACATGACGCGGAATCAGATTGTGACTCCTGACTTTCCTCTGAGGCCAAAACAAACTTCCTGAAATTGTGTCCCTGTGTTTCCCGTGTCTGAAGGCAGTGACAGGAATCTGAAGGAGGACGGAGTCAAACACTAGACATCTGCAGACCGTCAGAAACACGCAGGAAAAATGTCACAAGACAGTCTGACCTTTCATAATCCATCTTTCTTGGAAGATCGGACGCTTCTTCTCTCCTGTTTGTAAAGCCAGAAGCAACAACTGAATGTTTCAGGAGCTTTTCAAGAACAAAAATACCCTTAATATGTATTTCAAATCACTCGTCTGGTTATAAATCACAGTTCTCTGGGCTTCTGGATTGATTAAATGTGGTTAATGTGAAATATTTAAGGCTCAAGTGTGACGGTCATTACTGCTGATAAATGGCTTCTCTCCGGCTCTAATGGTGTGTGACTCCAGAAACACTTCTGTTCAGCGCCTTTACACTTTTCTGTTTTCCAGAGCTTGAAGGAAAAGAGTTTGCATGCCATCTTTCATAAGAGTTTAAGGCCTTAAAAGTGCCATCAGTCGATTGATCATAATGCAAACAAATGCATAATGCGTGTGTCATGCATATAGTGTTTTAGACATTTGGATGTCTAATTTAAACTATTTATTTCTTCTTGAAATTTGGTGTCTTCGCATGAATGTGCATGCGAAGTTTCAACACACAGATGTGTTTGGGAAAGGCTGTACACACTTGGTTACATCAATGGTGTTCAAATCGACCTCCACTGATTTCTATACAACTCACCTCAAATCAACACTTTGAAAAACAGCAAAAAAGCCAGGTAACAAACAAAAAACCTTTATTGTAGCTTGTCAAAGAATGAAACTGAATGAAATGTATGAAAACTCATCTTCGTAATCATCCAGGTAGAATTCGCTGTTTCTTCTGCTATTTGAGTTTCTCAGTCAAAAACTGGTTTTGTTTGTTTGTTTTTTTGGATCTGAATTACTAGTCTGTTTCTGCACTGAATATAAGCATGAGAAACCCATTTTATTCTCACAAGGTTTTGAAAACAGACATAAGAAAAAGGCAGTGGCTATTTACACCACATACAAATAGCAATAAATACTATTTACACCAAGTACTATTAATGTTGGATACTATTTATATTTAGTTGTAGCCGCTTGTAGTGTGCAAACTGTCACTACAAGCAGTCACAAAAAAACAAACAAAAAACATGAAGGAAATGTCTTTATGTTATGTCTGCGTAGCTACTTTTAAACAAAAATATGTGGGTCAAATTGACCCTAAACTTGAAGGGTGTATATATTTGTAAGTTTATTTACACAGTTTTTTATATATATTATGTATTTATTATGGCTGTCAAATTTATTTATTTATTTCAAACTGACTTTTAACATGAAGGGTGTAACTATTTTTAACACAACATTTATTTATTTGTTTATTTGTTTGTTTGTTTATTTGTTTATTTATTTATTTCAAACTTAATTTTAACATGAAGGGTGTAACTATTTTTAACACAACATTTATTTATTTGTTTATTTGTTTGTTTGTTTATTTGTTTATTTATTTATTTCAAACTTAATTTTAACATGAAGGGTGTAACTATTTTTAACACAACATTTATTTATTTATTTATTTGTTTGTTTGTTTATTTGTTTATTTATTTATTTCAAACTGACTTTTAACATGAAGGGTGTAACTATTTTTAACACAACATTTATTTATTTATTGTTGCTGACAATTTTATTCATTTATTTATTTATTTATTCAATTAACATGAAATGGTGTAACTGTTTTTAACACATTTATTAATTTATAAATAAAAATATTATTTATACATTAAGAAATCAATTTATTTAAATATTATTTATTTATGTTCAAATTGACCCTTAACATGAAGGGTGTAAATTTTTTTTTTTTTTAACACAACAGGAGTTCATATTTTATCATACTTCATATTTTCTGACAAGCTAAAATAGAGGTTTTCTGCCTCATAAAGCAATCAAAACTAACAAAATAGCAACAATATATAAGTGCAAATGACAAGTCTTGGATTTATATAATATATAGTGTCGATTTTGTGTGAACTGCATTGAAACCAATGGGGTTCAATTTGACCCCAAGACAATAGTAGTACCCAGATTTCAACATAATAAGGGAGTTAATATTATCTGCTTTATTAGTGTTCCTTTAACTCATAATAAACAGGAGAAATTCCTAAGAGACCTGGCTTCATGTTATGCGTCTCCAGCTGCCATGACTCACAGGGTCGGTCAATTACTGCTGTAAAGCTTCTCAAATTAAAACCTGTTTGACATCTAGATGTTTCCCTCGTGTCTGCAGTGACTTTACGGGCTTTGTAGAGAGCTAAACTCCTGACAAACTTCACCAGTCACACCTAATATTTCACCAGCAGAACATCTACAGGAGAATCCATTCATCCTGACCTAAAGGTGGCAGCACACGACACTAATGTGTAGATTTACATATCCTTTCTTCTTCCAGTAATAGTTTCTTCCAGAACGTCCCACAGGAGGAAGGCGATTAATGGAGCAAACGAGCGGATTAACCGAAACTAACAAACAGCAGACTCTGCGGAGAGCAGAGCTGAACGCCTCTCATTAGTGAGCATTAGTGAGCGTTTTAATGACTTCACTAAAACAGCACGTTATGTTGAGAAAGCACTACATATTTAAACTAGCTGTTGGGAAAGATGTTCACAGCGACTCTAGATGGGCTTCTGTAGAGCGTCAAGACCTGTCAAACGTTACAAAACACAAAGAGAAACAGAAATGAAGATCGCAGAGGAGGCGGGGTTAGGGGCGGGGCATCAGGAGCCAGACGGAATCTGATTGGCTCCTTCAGTGATCCTGATCTGTAAAATGATTGGTCATGGAAACACAAACATTATAAAATAACAACTGCACACGGTTTAATCCAGATTTAAAGAAGGTAAAATTATGAGAACAGATTTTTCATTGTCCGCATTATAGACATTCATTGTTAAATGTCTCACATTGGGCTGATTAACAGTATTTTTATCTCATGTTTTAATTATTGACTGACAAAAGTTCAAATGTGTTTTATTCTTAAATTAAGTGTATGATTTCTGAAGAATCATGTGACTGAAGACTAGAGGAATGATGCTGAAAATTCAGCTTTGATCACAGAAATAAATTACACTTTAACATATATTCACATAGAGACTTAAATTGTAATAATATTTCACGATTTATTCTGTTTTTGACCCTCGGTGAGCAGAAGGAAAAAAATGGTGTTTTATTAATTTGGCTCTCCTTTAAAAATGTTCAACTCTTAGATATAGTAGCAATGAGATTAAATGGAGAACAAGTGGAGTTTTAAGTCTTCTGCTTCTCAGATGTCTCTCCTCTAAAGTTTCAGCAAAGATCTCAACAATCTTCCAAAAGTCTTAATATGAACTCAAACATTTCTCATCAAATGATCTGAGCTGCTGTCCACGTTCATGTTACAACTCTAAACCTTCCCTGCATTGCTTCAGTGGAGAGTTTCAGAAGAGACAAAGTTAATGCATGATGTTTTCTAAGCTGAACGAGCAAACGGCGAGCAAGCGAACAATAAAGCCTTCCTTTGGGAGTGTAAAATAAAGCATTAAATGGGCTGTTATTGTGTAATGAGTTACTGGAAACGGTGTGTGTCCTACAAACCGGGCCAGTTCTCATCAGCCTAATTGTGACTGTAAATAACGATGCTATTCAGAGACAAAGAGGAACACACACTGGACGGTAGCTGCTGTTTTGAGTTGGGACGGGTGTAAAAAGGTCACCTATGCATCCGCTGTGACATCCCCGTCTGGAAGTGCACTTCCTCCGGCCGTTTCCTGCAATAACAGGCTCAGTCATTATGAAGAGTGGAATGACCCTGATTTATGCTGGACTGATGATATATCAGAGCGCTTCACTGCTAACTGAAGA